AATGTAATACCAAATTGTTCAATAAAGACCGAGGCCAGGCCTCACTCTTAAAAAAAAAAAAAAAAAAAAAAAAAAAACAACTTCAAAACAACCTCTGGTCTTTTCTAATATTTTTCTTCATTCTAAGCCAACTATTAATGAACCCAATTGATTAACTACAAACTTTAAAATAATACAACTTATTAAACATATAGGCTAGACTTTTTCAATTAGCCCAATCTACAATATCCCATACATCCTAAATAATAAAACTATATCTCTTGAATTTCTTCTTTCTTCTTATCCAAAATACTCTATTTTCAAAGAACAATTCAGATATTATAAACTTCTTTTTTTGGACCAACTCACTATTCATAACAACTTATATCTTTTGTATTGGCAACACATTTTTCCTAAACTTAACAAATTTCCAAAAGATATTATATTATAATAGTTTACTATTCTTAAAGACATTACTACAAGTTACTCTTATCAATACACTCTATATGATTATTATAATCTACCTTCTATAAATTACTTTTGCTACTCTACTGACCACTTTATCTCTAATCTAACTCTTGACTACTTATTATTCTTAATAATCAAATAATTATTAACAAGACCAAAAGGCATAATATACCTACTGGCTTATTCTCATTAACTATTAGCACTGCTTATTCCAGTCTCAGTTCTCTAATCTTTATTCTACTTCTCCTTCTACTACCACATTATTTACTGGATGCCATCTTAATTCAAATATAATTGCTAACAAATATACTATCTTTATTCTTACTAACTTGGCTACTAAACTACTTTGTTGTATTAATCTTAACAAAACTCTCAATCTTTATACAAACTTTTTTTATATTATATATTCTTTTGCTTTTCAATATTCTTTACATATTCCACCTCCTTCTTCATTCACAATTAATCTACAATGACTACCTCCTATTTTTGAAATATGCCAACTTGTTTATAACCTTCAGACTATTATTAACTTAAATAGCAATCTATTATTTATTTCATTTTAAACTGATAGTTCTGTTATTGATCTTGGTACCTCACAATGCTTTATAGGTATAGGTTGGATTCAAGTTAATAACTCTATAACTATTAATTCATTTTAGATACAAGTTAAACTATAGCATGTTCTTTCAAAGCTAAAATTCTTGTTATTCTTTTAGCAATTATTACTGCTCCTAGGCATTGCTCTGTTTACATATTTAAATTAGTAATCTCCAAATATTATAATATCTGCCAATTAACATCTACTCTTTCTCATACTTATAATTTATATTTCTTTATTTAGCAAACACTTATCAACTTTATCAAGTTGGAAATACAAATTGTCAACTCTTTCTGACAATCACTTGTACCAAAATTCTGCTAAAGAAAATTTAATTTTTTTTAACAATTCATAATTAAATATATCTTTTAAATAAAATAAATCTGTTCTTTATCTTATTTTATATATACTGTTGAAGGTGGTTAGTTTTTTTTTGGTTTTATGGTTTGGGATAATAGTGTCACAGTTACACGCCAAAGCCACCCGAGCCCATGACGCAAGCCCGACCCAAGCCCGTGACCTAAGCTTAACTCAAGCCCGTGACCTAAGTCCAACTCAAGCCCGACCCAAGCCCGTGACCCTGTGCTGACCCAAACCCGTGACCCAAGCCCAACTCAAGCCCATGACCCAAGCTGTGACCCAAGCTGTGACCCAAGCCTGTAACCCAAGCCCATAACTCGAGCCCGACCCAAGACCGCACAACTAACATTTTATAGACATTACATTTAAAAAAATTATACTTAAGTTACTTATTAAAGTTATTTGTAACTTTAATATACCTTTACAATTAGCTTCACAAATAGTAATTCAAATACTTTTATACATTAATGAACAAATCTATAAACTAATTTGGAAACTATATTGCATTGAATTTTCTAATTAGAAAAAACATAACCAAATTCCATCCAGATATCAAAATAATATTAGTAATACTGATATATAATATCAAAATTATAGAGCCTTCAAACAATATCACAAAGCCTATATATACTTATGTCTATATGGCAATGCAGATTAACTCTATTTACAATTCAATATATATTTACCAATTGGTCAAGCAAATAGAAAACTTAACATCTGGTTAATTCTCAGCATAATAGAAGTTTGTTTTAATTGAGTAAATTTTTGTAATCTAGAAAAATACTGGTTTCATGTAACTATATAATATTTAACTAATAAAATGGTTTATTATTAATTATTGCAAATTTTTGCATAACTAGAAATTTTTATTATCATTATATTGTAGAATTTATATCTGTTATATCAAGATTCTGCTTGGTATCTGATATAACGAGAAGTGCAGTAATGTAAAATAATTACATGTAAGGGTCCAAAGTAAAAATAATTATATATAAGGATCCAAATTTTGAAAAATTTTAGTCAAGAGCCTAAATGCATCATTATTAATTAGATTGCAAGTTTTTAACCTTTATAATTATAAAAATATAAACTTTCTTTTGATGGTTAATGTGTTACTTTTTAATATATTTTGTATTTATTCTTTTAGCATCTTATATATAAAAAATTATAGCTGATTTTTAGAAGTAATTTAGCTTTTCTATGAGTAAAATAGGTTTTTGCAATTCTAAATATTTTTAATTAATGTATAATAACATTCATAAAATATGTATTTTGGTACAAAATAAGCTTTATTAGTTTAGAGTCAAGTTTCATTAAGTGAAAAAAGCATGGTACAAAATATATAAAGTAGTACATTTGCAACACAAAGAACTACTAACATCATAATGCAGTTATTTTGGTTCTTTGATTGTCAAAATTTAGGCTTTTGTATGTAATCCAGACCTTTATATGCAAATTTCTTAAAATTGACTATCAGATAAAGTATATTGTCTAAAAATTTCAGAAAAACTAAGAATGCAACTAAGTATTAAACAATATAATTTTATAATAAATTATTATCAAATAAAATTTGTAAAAAAATTTTAATAAAAAATGCTTTAAAAATGAAATTAATTTTATTATATGCTTTTACAAGACAAGAAATTCTGAAACATGATAATAAAATCATTACATTATGCATAAGATTATTATGCATAAGATCATTATACATTGTTATGCATAGAGCATTATGCAAAAATCATTCATTATATTAGCATAATCCAAGTCATCATGCATAAAATCAGGTTTTTAGTATGATCTAAGTCATCACGCATAAATCAGGTTATTAGTATAATTCAAGTCAATTATACATAAAGTCATTATATTAGTATAATCCAAATCATTATGCATAAAGTTATTAAATTAGTATAATCCAACTAAATAATTTATTTGCATAGTGATCTAGAAAATAAAGGTTAGAGTGTTAGTAGTTGTAATTTATATAAAAAGAAGTCTCTTATACTTATCTTAAAGAAATAAATTATTCTTAAAACCTATACTCTCAACACATTGTTAATTGATTATTCGACTACAATAATACAATTAAATATTAATTATATCTTTATGTAATTAACTATTTATCTGTATTAAAAAATACAATAACTCCCAAACAAAATCACAGTTCTTGTTTCAATTCCTGATTGCCAAACAAATTTGAATTAATATCATAGAATTACAGATTGTACTTTAACAAAAATAAAAGAAAAAGATATTAATAATTAATATAATTATTTAGAAATTGAAATGCAATTATGTTATTCTCATTATTTAAGTGTCATTGAATCTAATCGCTATAATAAAAATAAGTCATCTGTTAATAGTACATATATTATTGAATCTTCTAATCTAAAAGACACTGATACTTTACCAACTAATAGTATACCTGATATTATAATTCTTAGACTGTTATCTTTTGGTAATAAGATTGCTTTGATAATGAAAGTATTATATGAAAAGCAGAGAAAAAAAAAACAATTACTCAAATTAGATTAAGATAATTTTCAAAGGATGCTTGAAAGTTCAGAACTGTTATTAAAAGAATTTTTTAATGAATAGTAAAATGCATTTATTCCAGACAGGTAATCTGCTTATAATAAAAAAGAGAATAAAAATAAAGTAGTTAATATATGCTATTCAATAGCAGAGATAAAAAACAAGTTTGTAAATAACTTTTTATTAGAAATTGATCTATATCTTGTGGCATCCAGTATGTCATATGAAGCAATTGATACATTACACAAGGCTGGTCTTTCATTCTGTTACTAGACTGTTGAAGCCTATAGAAAAAAATTTGCTAGTAAGCATCCAAAAAATATTCAAGAATATTTCACTAAAAAAGTAAATCAATAACTTACTATCTATGCTTAAGATTAAGGATGATAAAATTGATCTAATTCAGTTTTGTTGTGACCATTTCTAGTCAAAATCTTTTAACTATTGCTCTCTTTCTTTCTCTCACTTTCTCTCTGCAGTCTTCAGATAATATTTTGGTAAGATTTGTCTTTTTGCCCTTTCAAAAAAAAATTTAAAATTTTATTACTCAGAAATAGCAAAACAAGTCTATAAGATTTAAAAGTATAATAAAAAATTAAAAAAAACTAGACCTGAAAAAGAAACATTCTGACTACCAAAATTGGCAGAAAATTGCTTTTCTTTGAAGATTTTCTTGGGTTCTTTGCCTAATAGAGTTTTTAAATCTACCAAAATAGCATTTGACTTTTTGATTTCTTCCAAGAATTCAGACTTGATTTTGCTATAGAGAGAGAGATCTAATCAAAAATTTAACTCTATTTTCTTAGTCCATCAGTATTATAGTTAGAAGTATGAGTGCAATGCTATAATTGGTCATAATTATAATGAATTATAGCACTTTTTGTCATAATTTATTATAATTATAACTAATTATAGCATTGCACTTATATCTAGTTATAGTTTGAATTGCAAATTTCTAAAATAATATATTTATACATTTTTTTATTATTAGAATAATAGTCTTTTTATATATAATCTTGATGATTACTATAATATATATACTATAAGATGCCCAGATACTACTTCACTCTCATCTCTAATTCACTTTGCAATATGTGTTAGTAAAGAAGTTTCTAAATGTATACTAATCCCTATAATTTATAATAATAGCTCTGTTCATAATCCTGTTAATATAGACATATCTTTGCTTTGTCTATATCTAATCACAAAATACCATAGTATTTTTGATCTTTTATACTTATAAAGAAAAAGCCAATAGATTTCACAAAAAGTTAAGCTAATCAATTTCAACCAAATTAATCTTCTAACAATCTACTGCTATAATAAAACTATTATAAGAAAAAAAAATGAAAGAAATATGGAAGAAGTATGATTAGTTTGAATTAAAAAAAGTGATCTTCATATATTAGACAATTATATAAATGCATTAAATATAATTCTTTCAATAAATAGAAATAACAATTATGCAAAAATTACATAATGCCAGTTATTGCAGACTGGCCTGAGCAACTTTTTATATGAAAGGTAATAACTCTATTACATAAACAAAATGCAACAACAGAAATACTAATAGTTATTAATGCATTTATACCTATATTAGGTCTACTCCACATTTCATTATATAGTTAAGAACAGGTTATATTAATCTATTATTCTTTTTTTGAAAAACTTTTTCATGTAGTTTTTAGGAAAAACAAGAAACTTTTGAAAACACCAAAACTATGAAGAATAAACCTTTTACTTAAATTCATCTATCAAGAATAATTAAAAATAAAAGTAAAAATGTTAGAAAAATTTGGGCTACTATATAAAGATGTCAAGTATAGAATGTTAATTGATCTTCTTAATAACATTATTCTAGCAACTCTAGATATATATGCAGTTCTTTTTTATTCAGATTCTTTTGATAAATATATTAAAACCATTTTTTAAATATGGATTTTTGCTCTATGTTAGAACTATAAAAATTATAATAAGGCCTCTTTGACATTTTTGTCAGACATTTTTTATTGGGAAAACCAAAAACATCCAATGTTGGATGTTTTTAAAATGTTTCTTGCACATTTTAATGATTATTTTGTTAAAAATTTTTATAGCCAAATATGTGCAAATACATCAGCTCATAATAGTGCCAATAATGTCATCCAACAGACATATGTCCTGAATAAGTTAATAAAAAGTTAAAACTGCTTTATTTTAAATAATACAGTATTTTACTAATACTATAAATAAATAATTAAAAAAAAAAAATAGATATAAATAAGAACTCCCTATTTAAAGAAGCATTTAATATATAAAAAAAATACTTATATACTCCTTTTGCTCTAGAATACCTCATAAATAAAATGACACTATTCTTGTTGAATTATTTTCATCAAACTTTTCAACATATTAATGTGGCTTCTAATATAACAAATAATAAAAAGCAAAAAAAAATAAAAGAGATCTTTAAATATAAACTTGTCATTTTAGGTTAAGATGCTAATATTAGTGCCTGCAAACAGGCTATAGTACTAGTGCATCTCCTTTACCAGAACTTTGTAACAATTGTTATGAAACACTAAGTGAAAATAGAAGTAAAACTGTGTTGATCTGTGGACATAGTTTTCATTAGTATTGCATGCTAAAATGGAGTATAAATGTCAACATTGTAAGGAGTACTATAAAAATAAGATATACAAGAATATTAATTCATTTCTAAAAAGACTTGAAAAAGAAGATAACATTCTTATCAACAATAACGGACTTGAAAAAAAGATCCAAGATTTAGAAGATACAGAAGAATCCGATGATATACAAGAAAATGAAACAGTAATAGATTTACAAAGTGCATTAGATAATGTAGATATATGGCAATAATTAAAAATGTATAATTTATAGATTTCTTATCTAAAAATTAAAATGTATTTTGATCATAAAAATGAGCTACTGTAGTAAAAAAAAAAGAATTTAAACTATTAATAAAATTCTTATACTTTTTCTAATCTTGATGTATAAGTGAACTACCTTTTTCTATTTGATTTATAGCAATCCAAAAGGTTTAAACAGTGCTTTAGAACTTGAATAATGCTAATAAAAAAAATATCTTTTAATTATATGAACAATTGAAAGATTTACTTAACAATGAATTTAAATTATTATTAAAATTTTTATGTTTTTTTGAATTTTTACATATAAGTGAACTACCTTTTTTTATTTGATTTATAGCAATCTGAAAGTTTTAAATAATGCTTTAGAGCTTGAATAATGCATTAGTAAAAAAAATCTCTGTTTATATAAACAACAAAAGGTATTATCTTTATAGAAAAAAGACTTTTCATGCAACAAATATTATAACTCATAAAATTGCATCTTATCATGATCAATTTGATGATTTGAATTAACAACCAATCAAAATAAGTTTCTGTCATGCTTTAATTCTCTGAATTAAATACAATATTCCTTCTAACTATATACTAACACTTCAAATCTAAGTGGGTCTTGATCACTATAGTTAGTTTATTCATAGATAAACTAGTCTAAGCTCTTATTTTTGCATGTAATTTTTATTTTATTACAAACAAACTTAGTTTATTTCAGTATTCTTGTACTAAAATATATAGTTAAAATTATTAATAAATATATAAGCAAGACTTCATCTTAACACCAAAAAAAAATATATATATATATAAATATACAAATATTTTAGTTAAGTACTTAGTATTATTAGGTTTACAAATAATTTTTTTGTATAAATAATAGTTGTTAATTTAATTATTAATAATAACACTAATTTTATTAAAAAAACTATTTGTCTAATTTTGCTAATATTTGTTAAAGTAATATTATCTTAATAGTAGATTTGTTTATAGAGTAACATACTTTAAAGCAGCTTTAAAATAAGTCTAACTTAAGTTAAAATAAATTAAAAATATAAAAAATATATTGAAATAAAACTAGAATAAACTAAAGCAGTTATAAGAAATTTAAAGTAGCTTTAAAGTATACTCAACTTAAGTTAAAGTAAGTTGAAAATATTTTAACCAAAACTACTCTAACTCAATATATATATAATGTTTTATTTATATAATCATATATTTTATTTGTTAACTAAGTTTATTAATAAATTTTTATACTATTATTAAAAAAGTAAAATTCAATAAGAAATAGTTATAAAGTGATAACTGAATTGTAAAAAAATATTGGTAAAAAAAATAAAATAAATAAATAAGAATATATATATAAATTATATTAAAAGTATTTGAATTATCTTTTTTCTGCCTTTAATTTTTTTATTATAAATATATATTGGGTTTTTTTTTGTAAAAAAAAAAGCTTAAAAAAAGAATTTATATATATAATTTGTTCTTATACAATAAAATAAAAGTTTATAAATATTATATTTATTAAAAAAATAAAACTAATTATTAATTAAAATGTTTCTTGACCTATTTATTTTTTTATAAAACTTATTAACTATTGCTTTAATCTGTGCAAATTAGTTTTTGACTTTAAATCTGTTAATAAATATTATGCAATATAACTTTTTCTCAAGCAATTATTTATTATATTTTTTATTTTTTAGTAGTATTATTTTAACTTTAAAGACTTATAATAACTGTTTTATACTTAATTAGTTTTAGTATTGTTGAGTTTAATAAAATTTTTTTGTTTTGATAATGAGCTAATAAAAGAGGTAATAAGTATAAATTTTGTTAAAAATAATAATATTAAGTTAATCTTTATTAAATATAAACAAGTTAAGAATAAAATATATAATTTAAGTTTAAATTGTATATTAGTTTAAATTAGAAAATAATTATATAAGTAAAAAAAATAAGCTTTTAATATTATGGTTTGTATTTTTAAATAATATTGTATAGTTTTTAATATATATATATAAATAATGTATTGTTATTAGATATGAAGCAGCAATAATATTTATTTGAAAAATAATTTATTATTTGGCTGTTAAGTTTATATATTAGCTTTTAGACCTTGAAGAGTCTCTAAAATAATTTATATTAAATTCACAACTAAATAAATAAGTTATTAACTAGTAGAATTTAATAACAGTATTATTTAGTGTTTTACTATGATTTTATCAACAGAATAATTTGAGTTATTTTGATGATAATTGTGTTATTATTAAATAATAGAATTATTTAATAATAATGCAATTATTATTAAAATAGCTTGAATTATTTTGTTAATATAATTATAGTAAAGTTCTAGAAAATATAGATTATTTTAAAATACATTTTTAAGCATTTTTACAAAAAGTAATAAAGGTA